TCATAAAGGATTATCTTCAGCACCAGTTAGACCTTATGAGAAAAATTTAGCAACGAATATGGTTAACATCCCTTCCCTGCCCTACCGGTAGTCGATCTGGCAACGTGGTTTCTCCCTGATACTTGACGGCACATCGCGTCAGACGTGGCAGCCTGGTCGTAGGGCCAGAACACTTACCAAGACTGGCACGCTCACCGGTGATCCGAGAAAGCAGAAGCAGTGTTCCGTATAGAAAGAATTTCTCTTTCTTAGTTTCAAGGGCAAATGTAGGGAGAAATCCATGATGACATATAACTACCAAGATTAGGAGCGTATAAATATACTAACATCAAACAACTTGAGATAACTCCCCACCCACATAGCTTAATCAAAATCCAAACGGTACTTTCCAAGTTATAGACGGGCTAAGGATTAGCGGACAAATCGACCGATAGATCGACCGAAATAAGTGACATGGTTTTTGGCGATGTATGTCATATAACATCCAAAAAACTTAATATCGGGTTTTTGAAATTTGCGTTGATAATACTTCTCGCTAGTAGGCGTGAGAAGTAAAAATGCGTAAGTGGATATTATAGAAAATGATCATCTCTAGATAGGCTTATATGGGAAATATGTGTGGATTGTAAGTTATTTACTAGCTAATTGTGCAGTAAAGCACGGTAGTAATCGATGGGTGTTGTCATACATTACGAAACCCTAGCACTGAGTCGGATTTTTGTAGAGGATCGGCAAAGAAGTCAAGAAAAGAACATACCATACGGAATAAAAACATCAGAAATCAGATAGGAATAAAGAGCGTAAAATAAAAATAACAGCTTGTATGGTGCAACCATGTGAAACGAATTGAGGAGAAGATATCACCAAGAACAGTCTTAGAATGGACACCACTGGTAAAAAGGAAACGAGTATGACCAGATATCACATGCATACTAGGGATCTCGAGAGATATGTCAGAAAGAAATATACCTGAGTTACGTAAAAAGCCTATAAATTGTAAAAAAAAAACCGACAAAAAGTCTTGCAGCCTAGGTAGTTTTTAGTGTGCAAATAGTTCATTCCGCATTTGCTCGCTATGAGCCTCATCAAAAGCGCTACCTGTGGGGGAATGACTCAATGACATGACACGTTCAAGTCTGTTCCTGAGCGTGCATTGTTGGATGCATAGTGTCGTGATAGTCAGTAGTGTTTATCTCTCAGATGATGTGAAAGAAAGAAAGTTGGTTGAGTAGCAAGGTCGCATCTGGATGATTGTGTGTATTGACCCGCATGTTTATATCTACTAGCTGTGCCAGTCGTATTATTTATGTGTGGTTGTTTCTGAAGATATGTTATATTCAAAGTTATATCCGAAGCTTTATTTAAGAAAATATATTTATTTACCTTCAAAGCCACATCACAGAAAAATTAGACATGACGCATCACACAAGAAACGTTTTTGCACTGCCTCCCATTTTGGCGCTGATGTGTATTTTCTACGAGACATCGCAAAATAAGTTTGAATAAAATACAAATGACTGGGTATGGAAAATAATCTAAAATGTTCTTGTTTCATGAATACTTCCATCTGTAGCCTAATCACTCACCTGTTAGTTGTAATACTCTTCACCAACCAGGGGTTTTATTTTCTTACCTCTCGCATTTCTCAAATTCAGCAAATATGCTTATGTAATTGCCAGAATGAATGAGGAAAAGTGGACGCGCAACTAATTTCTAGCTCCGAATACTTACATCTCAAATAAGTGTATTTCAGAGAAGAAACCAAGGAAACTATCATCAGCACAGATTATTAGCACAAACATCCTCACTAAGCACCTATGTACTGCCGTTTTCTCCAGCTAGAGTGTAAAACTTGCAGCTTAGATCTCCAAGAATGCCATCTCGGAAGCCCAAGCCAAATAGCTCAAGTGACGCTTTAGGGAAAAGGTATAGTTTCTATTAGTGCACCAAGTGTACGATAGCAATGTCACAAAAAATCTATACAATATAAAAAAACCGACATAATGTCACTTTTTAAGATGCGTAATGCCCCTGCCGGGGCAATGCTACACAACCTGAAAGAGACATTTAGTCGAATACCAAGATCCGGCTACTATCTTGGTTGAAGCTCCGATTTTTGGCCGCCAAATGTCCATTAGTTCCATCAACAGTTAGGTACATATTTCGCGAGTGACAGGTAATTGCAGTGAATACGATGCGATGGCAAAACTAAAAAAAAATAATTGTAATGAGTCTTGTAGTATTGATGGTGATTCTTTTCCATCTCGTAAGGTAAGAAATGTGAGTAAAGCATTGAGTTTTCTTGGGGCAGTCGTTGCAGGAAATAGAAGCAAGATGAGGAGGTGGAAAAAAGTGCTCTTGCAAATAAGATTGACGAATATTTGAAAGCGGTGGTGGTTAGGAAACGTATTAACTGGCATAATTCGCAAAAAATACCTAACAGCACTCGCTGTCACTTAGAGACGTTTTTACAAGCCAGTAAAATTTACAAATCGACAAATGCGGAAGAATTTTATTTTCATTCGGCACAACTTATCTTTGACAGGTATTGATTGCTAGGTCTGTTCGTACAAAACATTGATTTTCGAGTAATATCTGCGACTTTTGCGAGATTTTATATTTGGTATTTGGCCAAAGAGTTCGCATTATATTTGGCCGAAAACCGAATATCGTTCCTCCGATGCCCGATGCTGAATTGAACTTTATGATCCATCGAATAATTGCATGCTCTTTCTTCTGTTGTTTGAATTTAGGCTAAAACCATATATTTTTACCCCCTATCCTCATTTTTAGCTACTTAACCAAGCCAGCCTGTCCCCCCCTTATCTAATTCATAGTACATAGTTTGTTCATGAACAATATTCTCATAAAATATCTCCATTATCCAGAGCACTTCTCATATTTCTGTACTCGCAAATATACAGTCTAATAGCTACTCGAGCGCCGTAGGGACATAATGGGTTTTGAAGATTAGATAGCAGAAAGAAAAAAAGGTTCTGTGGTATATACCCACGAAGACTCGAGTTGTTTAGGGTCATGATGACAGGAACAGACACAAAGAGAGAGAGAGACTTTCTGCGCAGTGTATCAACTCAATTCATCGTCGAAATTCTTAGCTTCACCCCCACTCCATGCGTTTAACTTCCTATCGCTATTCTTCATGAATATACCCTTTTAATGGGTGGAGGAAGCGGACACTCGAGTGGCAAGGGTATGTAGTATCTTGAAAAGTGACATGTTGTCGTTTTATTTTTTGACATAACGTAGGTTTTTTTGTGACAAGATGCTAACTTATTGTAAACTCGTTTTGTAGGTGTATGTGTTGCCTAAACATCATGATGCTTCAACTATCAATGTTGCACCTCTGATATGATGTAATATCTGCTACAGAGTGGTGTTGTCGGAGGTCTAAGCTGTATGTTGTATACTATAGCTGGAACGAAACGGCAGTGCATAGGAGCATAGTGAGGATTTGTGTGCTAATAACCTGTCTTGATGATAATTCCATTGATTTCTTGTCTCAAATACACTTACTTGAGATGTATTTAAAGCTAGAAATTAGTTGCGCATCCACTTTTTCTTATTCAACCCGGAAATTACAAATGCATATTTGCTGAATTTACAAAATGTGAGAGATAAGAAAAGAAAATCCCTGGTTGGTGAAGAAACAGGTGAGAAGATTTGCTACATACACTAATATTTATGAAAGTAAAAAGGTTATCACATTATTTTTTTATTTCCTGTTATTAAAATTTTATAGAAATTTATTTTGCGATGTCAGTAGAAAATACAAATCAGCGCCTAGATGTGAGGCACTGCGAAAATATTTGATGTGTGATGCACCTCAAAGCTTTTGAAAACACAAAAAACTGGAGAAATCGTAATTTATAACTTTGGACATAACCTATCTTCAGAAAGGATATACTCGGCTTTCTGCCACCAACATCGCATGCGTGAGCGTGTCGTGTCGTTGAATCATCCCTCTATAGATCGTTCACAGCGATTATAGTTAGCAAACGTGGAATGAACTATTTGTACCCTAAGAACTACCTAGCCTGCAAGATGACATTTTGTCGTTTTTGCAAACTTTCATTCTACGTTTGCTCACCAGGATCCTTGTGAGCGCGATCGAAAGCGTCCATCTATGGAGGAATGAATGAACGACACGGAATGCTTGTCTCTTTTCAAGTATGCATTGTTGGTTGCAAACAGCCACTTTGTTTGTAGACAAATTATTTTAATGTTTAAAATGTGAAAGAACCATGAAGTATAGCTATTAGCTGTGCCAGACGGGTTATTTGTGTTGTTCTTTCTGAAGAGAGGTTATGTTCAAAGTTATACATTACGATTCGTCCTGTTTTTTTCTTTTGCGTTTGAGAAGAATTACAAAAAACTACTTCCGCACCCGCGTTGTGTAATTACCGTTAGCATGTATATGACTTGTAATTCGACAGTGTACAGTGAATATAATTATTTCTTATCTCCCTCATTTTTGAAATTCAGCAAATTTTGCATATGTAATTTCCAGAATGCATTAGAAAATCTTAAGTAAGTGTATTTGAGACAAGAATCCAATGGGATTGTCATCAACACACATTATTAGCACACAAATCCTCACTTTGTTTCAGCTTAGACCTCCAGTAAGCAGATTTTATATCACATCAGAGGCAAACATTGATAACTGAAACATCATGACGTTTAGGCAACACATACAACTACAAACTAGTTCACGACAAGTGTCGATCAGCTAGTGCTAAACCTAAATAATGTCGAAAAAAACAGTATAATGTAAAAAAAAATCGATTTAAGATAATATATGCGCTACGTGTCTCTGATATTGGAGGTATGATAATCTGCCGGCTTATACCGGGTGGGCCATCAATCAAGGATGCCAGCTGACTCTCGACCACTCAACTTAGAGCTGTCGGCTAGTGGCCAAGAGAAATTGCTGGAAATAACTTTCAGCTCCCTGGGATGGCCGCTAGGAGGCGTAGCCCCAATCTCAACATTAAAAATATAAGGGGCTTATATATGGTGACAGTACGTAACATGATGCAAGGTATCCCTCCTTATGTTAATCTGCCGCGCTCTAGTAAATCCAAAAAAACCCCATTTGGGCTCCTCTACTAATATAGACAAGCATATCAAAATGGTAGATGAATCTAAGCAAGGGCTTTATCGCTACTCCTCAGTTCTGCTACCATAGTAATCATCCGTCTTTTGATTGAGCCAATTGTATAGAACTTTCAAGTGGGACGCTTAGAATATGGATATACTTTAATTTCGCCTGATAATTTCTCCGCTCCATCATAGCTGTTCCTATTGGCGACGCCATAAGGAAGAGTATCTCCGTCCGTTGTGCCTTATAGACGGGAAATCGAAGCATCCACGTAATATCCGATGTAATAATACTCTTTCTAGGTAAAAGATGCCATCGCTGAAATTATATTGGACGTAGAAGGCGGCCGAGGAGGTATAGGGAGCGAAAGGGGAACTGAAAGCCTCCACTCCAACGATGAATGGGATCGAACGGGTATTATAAATCACGACTATTAATCCTTCGACGACGACGTCCTCTTGCTGTTTCTTTTCGTTTCGATTCACTGCAATATCAGGACGACTTTATTCGTACTTTAAACTGTATCAAGTCTGACATGAATAGCACCAATTTCAATTTGTCCTAGCAAAGTTGGTAGGTTATTACAATTAATTTTCAGACAATTTGCTTATTATTAATTCAATGCTCCATTTTGACCGCTACCTCCTTAATATGCCCGGTTACACTGCCTCGCTGAGGTCAACTTGACGCTGAGCTGATTCTTATTTATCTAGTTTTGTTGGGCCAGATACGCGCAAAGCTTGTGTCGAACTTTAATAAGCAATTGATCTAAGTCGAGGGTTTTCTCTGTTTAAGGGAGTTTTAACCAAAAATGTACTTTTGTTTTGCCAGCCGGACGGTCCAGTATCTCAAATAACGTCTTAAAATGTTGTCTATGTGAAATATGGACTACCGGGTGTTTCAAATTCGGCCCTCACCATTGGGATCTCGGAAACAGTAAGAGAACCGTAGGATGCTTAAATGAGGACAAAGTATCGAATTTAGGTAGCTAACAAAATGCCACTTAGAAAGTTTCAAAATTTCAAGATACAGTACCGGAGAGACTGAAAAAACAGAATTTTCTCAAAATCGTTTTCCTGACTATCTGTTGTCAGAATTTAGCATATATAGCACACTAACTTCGCCACTTTCTTCCTCTGCGGGATAGCATAATGAGAATTCCAATATCAAGTCCTATCCATCTACGATGGATAAAGCCGTAAGGTAGATGTAATACGGCCTAGAAAAGAGGAGGTTCCAGTGAGTGAGAGACTGACACTGTAGCAGTGCATTGTTGAGCCCAACCGGTACTGTGTCAAAATCAAGTTTCGTCTATTGTCCCTTATTTTTTCTTATAAGCGTTATATTGAATTCTGTGCACAGTTAGATAGAGTTTTTAGTTTTGATTCAAAAAATGTCATACATTGACATTGACAAACCTTCGTTATTAAAAACGAACAATTAAAAAAAAGAATTTCCTATGTAGGCTTTGGAATTATGATTCGATTCATCGCAAAGTCGTGTTTTATTTTTCCAAACTTTACTTGTGACGGGATTTCAAAGTGAGTAATGTTCAATTCGAGGGCTCTTCTTTCGACCTCCATTACCACTTTGTTTTTTCATATGGAAATTATACTAGAATTTAAATGGAGTTTCGATTCGTAAGTTCAGTGATGTATTTCTCCAATTGCCCATACATTTATTGTTGGACGAAAATTAGAAGGAAATAAAAAGATATGGTAAAATCTGAACACAAACTGAAAATAACAAATAGTAATAACAATAATAATCATAAATAAGGAGTGGTAAGTCATATCAGATTTCCAATTCGAGGGCTCTTGTTTCGACTTCCTTTACAACTTTGTGTTTTCATATGGACGCTATGTTGGAATTATGTTCCGTCCTCGTCGAAGTAAATATTTAGACTACATATCGTAGTACCCTCGTAGTAGTACCCAACGCCACGATTTCAAAGCGCCTTTCTCCCCTCTGGCCGAATATAAACCTTCATTCCTTGTTCTCGTGCCCGACCGTCAACACGTTAATCCGCGCGCGTCGTTTACGTGCAGTGCAGAGTCGAGGATCCGCTGAACATTTAGAATTAGAAAACAGGACAGAAGGTTGGCCGATAGATGTGCATTGTCGATCGAGATACCGACCGACGGTCGCCTGAAGGTTGCTTTCGTCCCGGACCAAAAGTAGAAAGTGGCGTGCAGGCCTCTTTTTCTAAAGGTGCGTCACAATCAGGTAACTGTCAACTAACCGATCTGTTTTAGGTGCAAGTTAAATGAATAGTAGTATGGATGCCCTACCTGCGCATCAAATTGAGCCTTACATGACGTTAGGGATAACATTCGGACACTGTTGCTTGGGATAGCAACCTGGACATAGCTTGTGATAGCCAACTCCATACCTAGGACGAACAAAGACGTTTGGGATAACGCTGAAACATTGGACTTGGTTGCTTGGGATAGCAACGTGGACCTGGCTTGGGATAGTCAGATCCACACCAAGGACGAACCAAGACATTTAGGATAACGTGGAAGCATTAGACTCTGGTTTGTGTAATAACTATGGAACAATATTGTAAGGATACACATGAGATGTTACGAAGAAGCGGAAGTACCATTTTTCATTAATGTACGACAGAGATTTGCTACATCTATTCGAGACTAGCGTTACATTTTGCTTGTGATAGCAAATTCCACGTGGTTTGTGATAACCGCGGAACAGGTGTGTAATTATGAACATGTCAGGTTAGAAAACCGCCAATATATACTATAACCAGATAAAGAATAGGCACCTTATGCGAGGTTAGCGTTACATTTTGCCTGTGATAACAAATTTCATTTGGTTTGTGATGACCTTGGAATATCTTCGTCAGAATGCTCATGACAGTTTAGGAAACCACTAAAGTACTATTCTTCGTTGATAACAATAGAGGTCAGGTTTTATCTATGCGAGACTAGTGTTACATTTTGCTTGTGATAGCAAATTCCACATGGCTGGTGATAACTATGGAACAGGACTGTAAGCATGAACATCTCCGGTTAGGAAACCACCAAAGTTCTAATGATCCGTAATAACGGAAGTTAAATATCATTATGCCCGATTAACGTTACATTTTGCATAGGTGGCACTCGTACAGCAAGGCGCTCTGGATTGTATTGTTTTAAAAGCCTGTTCCAATAGATGACGCATCACCACGATGATGCGGCGACCTTAGGATAATTAATGTTCGCGCGGTGTTCCAAGGCTGACATTTCGAGGGCGATTCTGGTTGATGACGATAGATGAATAAACTCTGTTCTATTCTAGCCACTTAAGGTGAACCCTGAGGTAACGGAAGCCATAATAGAAATTGTCGCACGCAGGGAATACCCATAATAGAAATTGTCGCACGCAGGGATGCATGCTTGGACTGTGTACAGCAACATGTGGGCGGTTCATTAACTGCAAGTTCAAAGCAGGGAGAGGCGTGCAGGCTGGCAGATATTCACATTAAAGCAAAGAACTCAGGAGTACTCTGGCAGAGGCTTCCAGTGATATCTTGCTTTTCGGTGCAAGTCTGACCAAGTAAGTCAGTTCTAAATAGAACTCAGATAAACTGAGCAGCAACTGAAGGCCAAAATGCCAGACAACGTACTGACAACGTCAACCCGCTATTGCAGATGAGGTGTGTAGATCAGCATGGGCATTAACGCGTATTCATACCGGTGTGAAGCTGGCAGACAAAATTTAGCGGACAATTTGCCGAAGATACCCGAATGACCAGTGGGGTCGACATCATCGACCAGACTGTGATTGTGAAGGATACAGCTAACAGCTCGCAACAATAAACATATGTGCACGAGAATAAGCACCCCTATAGGAAGAATCATTTTCCACCCCAATTAAATAATTCGCAGGAACAAGACTTAACGCAAAACCTTTATTCGAATTTTCACTTACGGTATATTGTAAATATGGTATTGAAAGTAATTAATGAGCTAAATAGCATATCCTGAGAAAATCTCTAAAAGGGTGGTAGATGAAAAAATATAAAAAGAACTTCATTTTCACCGCCAAAAAAAAATGATTCCTCAAAATGTTTTATATCTCAAAAAAATACTCTATTACAGGGACAACTCATGGGCTAGGTGGCATGGTGTGAGAAAGCTCCTGAAAGGCTGGCAGATAAAAAATGTTTTTAAATTCATTTTCACCCCCAAGGAAATAATTCCCCAAAATCAGTTGTAGCTCAAAGAAATACTCTATTATAGAGACAATTTATAGGCTAGGTGGCATGGTGTGAGAAAGCTTCTGAACGGTGGCAGATAAAAAAATATGTTTTTAAATTCATTTTCACCCCCAAGAAAATGATTCTCCAAAATCAAATGTAGCTCAAAAAATCCTCTATTATAGAGACAACTTATAGGCTAGGTGGCATGGTGGGAGAAAGCTCCTGAAAGGCTGGCAGATAAAAAATGTTTTTAAATTCATTTTCACCCCCAAGGAAATAATTCCCCAAAATCAGTTGTAGCTCAAAGAAATACTCTATTATAGAGACAATTTATAGGCTAGGTGGCATGGTGTGAGAAAGCTTCTGAACGGTGGCAGATAAAAAAATATGTTTTCAAATTCATTTTCACCCCCAAGAAAATGATTCCCCAAAATCAAATGTTGCTCAAAAAATCCTCTATTATAGAGACAATTTATAGGCTAGGCGGCATGGTGTGAGAAAGCTCCTGAAAGGCTGGCAGATAAAAAAATGCTTTTAAATTCATTTTCACCCCCAAGATAATAATTCCCCAAAATCAGTTGTAGCTCAAAGAAATACTCTATTCTAAAGACAATTTATCGGCTAGGTGGCATGGTGTGAGAAAGCTCCTGAAAGACTGGCAGATAAAAGAATATGTTTTTAAATTCATTTTCACCCCCAAGGAAATGATTCCACAAAATCAGTTGCAGCTCAAAAAAATACTCTATTATAGAAACAATCTATAGGCTAGATTTCATGGTGTGAGAAAGCTCCTGAAAGGCTGGCAGATAAAAAAATATGTTTTTAAATTCACTTTCACTCCCAAGGAAATGATTCCCCAAAATCAGTTGTAGCTCGAAAAGATACTCTATTATAGAGTCAATTCTTAGACTAGGTGGCATGGTGTGAGAAAGCTCCTGAAAGGCTGGCAGATAAAAAATATTGTTTTTAAATTCATTTTCACACCCAAGGAAACGGATCCCCAAAATCAGTTGTAGCTCAGAAAAATCCTCTATTATAGACATTTTATAGACTAGGTGGCATGGTGTGAGAAAGCTCCTGAAAGGTTGGCAGATAAAAAAATATGTCTTTAAATTCATTTGCACCCCCAAGGGAAATGATTCCCGAAAATCAGTTGTTGCTCAAAAAAATCCTCTATTATAGAGACAATTTATAAGCTAGGTGGCATGGTGTGAGAAAGCTCCTGAAAGGCTGACAGATTAAAAAATATGTTTATAAATTCATTTTCACCCCCAAGGAAATAATTCCCCAAAATCAGCTGTAGTTCAAACAATTCTCTATTATAGAGACAATTTATAGGCTAGGTGGCATGGTGTGAGAAAGCT